CAAACAGTGAAGCTGATAGGGAGAGTCTCTTGAAGAGTCTGTTCAGCTCAGTACAGTTGAGGCTGCACCTGGAGTGCTCTGTCTAGTGCTGGGCTCCCTAGTGCAAGAGAGACATGGACCTGCTGGAGCGAGTCCAGTGAAGCGCTACGAAAAAGATTAAGGGACTTGGAGCATCTCTGGTAGGAGGAGAGGCTGAGGGAGCTGGGACTGTTCAGCCTGGAGAAGAGAAGGCTTAGCCGGGGGTAGAATCTCATCAGTGTGTATAAATATTTCATGGGAGCAGTAAAAGTGGAGCCATGCTCTTCTCAGTAGTGCCCAGTGGTAGGCCAACAGGCAATACGGACAAATTGAAATACAGGAAGTTTTATTTACACATAAGTGGGGTTCTTTTGTTGTTCTTGTTTGTGTGGTTGGTTGGGTTTTTTTACATTTTGAGAGTGGTCAAACACTGGAACAGGATGTCCAGAGAGGTTGATGAGTGTGTGTCCTTTGAGATATTCAAAACTTACCTGGACGTGGTCCTGGGCAACCTAACCTGTTCTGCTTGACCATACTATGAGCAGAGGGCTCGTCTAGATCATCTCCAGAGGTTCTGTCCAACCTAAACTATTCTAAGATTCTGTGATACTCTTTAGTAATACTAAAACTACAGACAGACTATTTATTTCAGGAGATGCAGATAAAACAACAAAATAAGAATGAGAAGACGTTTTGACTTTATTTTTGTTGTGTACCAGCTGCTGTATTATCACACAAACATTAAAGAATTATAAGCAAGCATTCCTCCATTAGCAGGACAGATGTTTTTATTAAACATCTAGTATTTCAGACTAAGTGCAAGTATTATCACAGCAAATAGTGATCTGTAGGTTAAAAGGGGAAAAACTTGTTCGGAAAAAGAAAGAAAATCTCTCTTACGATGAACTTGTCAGGTATTTAAATATGAATTCTTAAGTATGAATCCTTAATTATATTTTGCTCTAGGTTAAGAGAGCTGTAGGTGTTTTGTTGTCTCTCCGTGGGGAATTTAATAGTACCAAATTCGTTACTGTGTATTTATGTACATTGTGCATTATGGACTATGTACATCAATGAAGGGGATGATTCTTGCAAAAGAAGAAGAAAAAAGAATTATATCAAGCATGAAATGGCAATTCTTTTTCAAACACAGAAAATGGCGAACAGCTGTATGAATGTCCAATGTGCAGTCTTACCTGTACAGATGTTCAGATTCTCCAAGAACACGTGGATTTACACTTAGAGGAACATAGCTTTTCAGAAGGTATGTGAAAGGATGTAAGCTTGATAGTATTTGAGAGTGTTTTAAACTGTCTGTTGCTGTATAGAATCTTAGGCAAAGGCAAAATTTCAACTAAATATTTCCTTATTTTAAAAGAAAACTGTGCCTCCCTAATGTAATTAACATAGTGAATAGCAAGTCCTATCACATGCTTGAGTGCTCTGTTTAATTGCACATGCTAAAAGAAGTATCTGTCTGTGCAGGTTTATTAAATAAATGTGCTCTATCATGGGCAAAATAAAACTTAGAGGGAAAAATATTTTACAAATTACCATTTTTTTCCCCAGCTCTATAGAAGATTTACATATGTGGAACTTGGATTGGCACACTCTAGCGTAACATGAGTTTAAAAGCAACAGCTTATTAAAATTTCTAATTTTTTTTTCCAATTCTCTTCTCTAAATGGTTGTGCTGATTACCTAGTTATAGAGATAATGAAAAGAATCAAAATAAGTTTGCTTTTCTTAGCAGTTTCCCCCCTATGGGTTTTCTGTCCAGTTCTCCAACCCTAAGCTTGTTTGTGTCACCTCGTCATTATGAGATTGCGAGCTTCTAGGATCATTGCTATCTGTGATACTCAGCAAATTAGGATTTCTTGCTGACAAATCAAGTGAAACATAGTAAACAAAAGGTGTTTTCTTAGTAGTAGAGGTACATGTGTTATTGGCAAAATCACTGTCCTTATAACCCTGCATAATCTTTGTGTAAATCAGAAAGCTGAGTCCTGGTAGACTGAATGTCGTTGGTGTTACCTAGTATTCTTTGCTAATATCTCAATATCGCGTGGGATGCATCTCCTAAAATTAATACATAGGTGTCTACTTATGTTTGTCTACTTACAGAAGAATTTTTAAAGATCAAACAAATGGTTATTCAAAGCATTGTTAACCTCCTGAGCAAGTCTTCTCTTTGTAAAATATTATTCCTGGGTAGGTGGAAACTTAAGAGATCTAGAACTTGCTCAGCGGCTCCAGACTGAAGAAGACAAACAGCAAAGGTCAGAAGAAGAGAGGCGAGAGAGAGAAGAATTTAAAAAGCTACAGGTGCAGTAATACTTCTAAATGATACAATTTGGAAGAGTTGTGCAATTAGAGGCTAGGTACCTTGAAACTGTAACGTTTCGTTTCTTGAAAATAACGATAGCTGTGCCGGGTCAGATCTGCACAGCCAGCCAGGCTGTACTGAGACAGTGATGCAGGAGTGCGCTGCAGGCAGATGCAAACCCTCAGCAACCCTGAGCCTGGCACTGGTGCTGAGCATGCGTGCCTTGAGCTGCTTGGCTCTACTGCTATGAGTGGTGCTGGCCCAGGAGGAGGCCCGTGCACTGCAGGACTCCATGCGTATGCTGTGCTGCCCTGGCGTGTCTCTTGCTCTGCCTTGAGTTGTGTTACTTGAGTCCTTGAGTATCCTGTCTATCCTCTTCCTGGACACCATTGCATATTTTGGTACGTACTTGGCCCCAGATCCTCGCTGCTAGCTCCTGATGTCCCTGTCCCTCCCCCCTAACAGCCCTAATAGCTTCACCACCCTCTCTTGCTACCTCTTGGCCATTGACTGCCTCTGTGCCGATGGCTGTCTGACCAAGAGAGAGCAGAGGGAGGTGTCTGCTCTCCTGGGGATGGCTCTCCTAGACTTATGATCCTGGTCTGCAGTGGAGTTTGGCCTTCATCATTAAAATCGCATGAATCGGGAGATTTTTATCTCACTGCTTACTATTTTTCCGCACTACTGATTGTGTATGTCTTTTCTAAGTCATTAATGAATGTGTATTTAAAAAAACGTAATCTTAATGATTAACATTCCATCCCTAACAGAGACAATATGGCTTGGATAATTCTGGAGGCTATAAGCAGCAATTGCTAAAGAATATGGAAAGGGAAGTTGACAGAGGAAGGATGCAGCCTTTTGAATATCACAAGAGAAAAGCTGACATGATGGAATCTTTGGCTTTTGGTATAGATGATGGCAAAACAAAGACCTCAGGTAAACTGCTGAAGTTATACAACTAAGAGTGTACTTTTTAGGCCTATGCTGTAGTGACCAAAGCTGTTTTTAATAAAGCGTTTCACTACTTGGATAATTGGATGTTTAATATTGGTTGCATCTTACTTCAACATGTTATTTTCTAGATTGGTAAATGACCTGTCACATCGTAGTCCTAAACTAATAACTAAATATGAGCTTGGTATGTTTCTAATCTTTATTCTAAGCTGAAGACTTTTTTTTTTTCTTTCTTGGAATCGAGTTGCCTCTTTAAGGGATCAGATACGATATGGTTTGCATTTGGTATTACAAGGTTGTTTTACCCGAGGGTATGTTTGTTTACTTCTTAGTATTTTCTGCTTCCTAACCTAGCTAGCTGTTCCCAATTATGGTAACTGAAACAGAAGACAAAAAGTTGAT